AGTGCAGCCTCTCCAATTTCCTATTGAAATACCTCCTAAAGAAATAAAAGAAAAAAGAAAACTCAAAGCAACAAAAATGAGGACTGGCAGTCAACCAGCTGTCAGAATCCCAAAGGACTTTTCACTTATTAAATATTAGGAAACCTCACTGTAGGTCGCTATCAGAGACTGACCCACAGGAAATAAAGCGATGCTGGTGTCCGAAGATAGGAATACTGTCTATGTTTTTTACCTCCTTTGCTCAATCCTATTTTTGTGTTTTAGTCAAGGAAGGAACCTTTATTATTATGTGCTGACAAAGTTCCAATGCTAACCAAGGGTTGAACTGCCAGAAAAGACTCCTACGAAACATTCAGGTATCTATTCTCAGTAGGTAAGTCTATTAGGCTTTACAGACACAAAGAGCTCTTCAAATAGCATCAGAAGCCAGAGTTCTATAATTGGCTCTGAAACCCAACTCTAGGAACATCAGAAGGTCAGAGTTATTGCAGCTCTAATTTGGGATTTGGAATAATAAACTCTTCATAGTTTGAGAACATTACTTACTTAAAAGCAAATCACCTTTTTGTCATCCTTCAGGTCCATGTGGGTTTATTCTGTTTTACAGGTGTTTGTTTTTTCTTCTACCCACACTCTACCACTTCCAAGCCCAGGAGTATCTAAGTCCATAAGGTTGGGGGTGGTGCCATTGAGGAGCAGAGCCTTGATACATGTAAAATATTGTAATGGAGTGTACAAACTGCCTTGTCATTTGTTTCATCAGTGGTTGGCAAAGATGGGTATGCATTTAATTTGGGCTTTTGTAGTTTGCAATGGCCTATTCAGTCACTTGTGATAACTGACTTTGGTTAATTGTAACTTTTGTGGGGGTTAGCTGAACCAAGGTAAATAGTACCAAGGACTTTCCTAATCATATAATTGGAGAAAGATGTGAAATAATAGATGGTTGTGGTTGTGATAATTTCTTACAAAGAAACTGATAACCAATACCATTAATGGTTTTACAACACCTTTTCAGAGAATCTGCACTGATCAAGAAAGAGGGATAAATTGCAGTTATTTATGGCCATTGGGAAAAGAAAAAAATGAACACCTTATAACTGTGATGTCTTCTGACTTTAACCACTACGCTTTAGTCTCATAAGTGATACAGATGGCAGGGATCACCAGTCACTTTCTACAGACTAGGAATCTGATAGATTCAGAGAGGCGTTCTGTCCCAGCAATACCGCGCATACAGCAAACCAGCCAAAGCTGGACAGGACCTCTACTTTTCCTAAGTCTACCCCCACAATTCTCGTTGCTAGACCACTGTGTCTGCTTGCCATGTCTATTCAACACTTGGTTGGCAGTCAACTAAATAAGGAAGCTGGGAAGCATTAAAGTGTTTAGCTTTAAGCTGTAATGCCCAATATAAGAGTGGGAGTTGGAATGAGACCTACCAACTGTTACATTATTTTATAAGACACTTTATTAAACCAGATACACTGTCATATTATATATAGCTCATGACCTAATTAGCAGATCCCCCATCCACTCTTCCTGTATCAGCTACTCGGTAAAACTGGTTCTATTTTTCTGGTTTTATTGAGGTAAAATTGACATATAGCACTATGTAAGTTTAAAGTGTACAGAAGCATGATTTGACTTACAGATATTGAGAAATGATTATACTACAGTAAATTTAGTTAGCATCCATCATCTAATATAGACACAAGAAAAAAAGAAAAAAAAGGTTTTTTACCTTGTGATGAAAACTCTTAAGATCTACTCTCTCAACAACTTTCAAATATGCCATACAGCAGTGTTAATTACAGTCATCATGTGGTACATGACATCCCTAGTACTTATTTATCTCGTAACTGAGAGGTTGTACTTTGACTAGTTTCATTTGATTACCCCTCCCCCAGCCCCACTGCTGGTAACCACAAATCTGATCTCTTTTTTTTTTCTGTGAGTTTGGGTTTTTTAATTTCATTTTTTTTTAGATTCTACATATAAACGAGATTACATGGTGTTTAATTTTATTGCATGTTAATAAAAGCACTTAAGACTGAGATGGAATTCTGTTTCTGGAGTTTCTTCAGTGTTTGGAAAGGCTCACTTAGAGCTTATAAAACTTTATGAGGCTGGAGATGAACTGGAAGAAATTAATAAGCAGTTGAAAAGGCTTACAAACTAACAACCAAGATGGTTTAGCTTCCACATTCAAGAATGCACCTGTTCTAAATCAAGAGACTATAGATGCTGGAGAGGATGTGGAGAAACGGGAACCCTCTTGCACTGTTGGTGGGAATGCAAACTGGTGCAGCCACTCTGGAAAACAGTGTGGAGGTTCCTCAGAAAATTAAAAATAGACCTACCCTATGACCCAGCAATAGCACTGCTAGGAATTTACCCAAGGGATACAGGAGTACTGATGCATAGGGGCACTTGTACCCCAATGTTCATAGCAGCACTCTCAACAATAGCCAAATTATGGAAAGAACCTAAATGTCCATCAACTGATGAATGGATAAAGAAATTGTGGTTTATATACACAATGGAGTACTACATGGCAATGAGAAAGAACGAAATATGGCCCTTTGTAGCAACGTGGATGGAACTGGAGAGTGTGATGCTAAGTGAAATAAGCCATACAGAGAAAGACAGATACCATATGGTTTCACTCTTATGTGGATCCTGAGAAACTTAACAGAAACCCATGGGGGAGGGAAAGGAAAAAAAAAAAAAAGAGGTTAGAGTGGGAGAGAGCCAAAGCATAAGAGACTGTTGAGAACTGAGAGCAAACTGAGGGTTGATGGGGGGTGGGAGGGAGGGGAGGGTGGGTGATGGGTATTGAGGAGGGCACCTTTTGGGATGAGCACTGGGTGTTGTATGGAAACCAATTTGACAATAAATTTCATATATTGAAAAAAAAAAAAGAATGCACCTGTTCTGCTCCAGGATGAATTGGTATTTGGTTATCTGAGATCTATGTTGACTTGTGAATCACTAAAAATATTTATGCATGACCTTACTTTCAGTCTTGTCTTTAGATGTATGGATAAAGAAAGCATGAGGGGCGCCTGGGTGGCTCAGTCGGTTAAGCGCCCGACTTCGGCTCAGGTCATGATCTCACGGTCTGTGAGTTCGAGCCCTGCGTCGGGCTCTGTGCTGACAGCTCAGAGCCTGGTGCCCATTTCAGATTCTGTGTCTCCCTCTCTCTCTGCCCCTCCCCTGTTCATGCTCTGTCTCTCTCTGTCTCAAAAATAGATAAACGTTTGAAAAAATTAAAAAAAAAGAAAGCATGAGACATCATGATAGTCAGACATTTGCCATCATTTTATAAATGAGGAAACATATTTGGGAGGACAAAATTATTTTTCTCAAGCTAAGAAAGTACTAAAATAGTCATCTTAAAACAGACATCCTTAAAACAATTGCTTTTCTCTGATTTTTAGTTATTTTACTTTAGTGTTAGATCATTTGAAATTAGAGAGCCTAGCTAGGATGGTAGCATTGTCACCAATCATGAAACTTGATTAAAATTGTAAATCTTGAGCTTGTTTACTATAAGAAGAGATTACTGATGCTACAATCCTTGTAGTATTTTAAAGGTAGGATCAAGCAACTTAATAGCTATAAATTACATAGTATGGTGTCTTTGACATAACTTTAATTGAATGCTGAAGATCTATTGTTATTTAATAGTAGTTTCTTAGGGCACCTGGGTGGACTTCAGGGCCAGACTTCAGCTCAGGTCATGATCTCATGGCTCATGGGTTTGAGCTCCACATTGGGCTCTGTGCTGAGCTCAGAGCCTGGAGTCTGCTTCAGATTCTGTGTCTCCCTCTCTCTCTGCCCCTCCCATGCTCGTGCTCTGTCTCTCTCTCTCAAAAATAAATGAACATTGGGGTAGCTGGGTGGCTCAGTTAGTTAAGCGTCCAACTTCAGCTCAGGTCATGATCTCACAGTTCCTCAGTTCGAGCCCCACGTCAGGCTCTGTGCTCACAGCTCAGCCTGGAGCCTGCCTCACATTCTGTGTCTCCCTCTCTCTCTGCCCCATCCCCATGCATACTCTGTCTCTCTCTGTCTTAAAAGAAATAAAACATTTTTTAAAAAATAAATAAATATTTAAAAAATTTTAAATAGTAGTTTCTTAAACGATAACAATCACGCGATGGGGCCATGTTTTTCCTGCTTCTGGAGAAGAAAACTAGAAAAATGATGTGAGTGAGAAGGAATAGGGATTAGAAAAGAATAAGGTAAAATCAATTATATTTATTAATTTTAATCCACCTTATCTAGGAATAGATCATATCAAACTTTGGGAGGAAACTATGTATTATGAAGTACATATCAAACATTAGAAATATTCTTTTACTCCATGAAACATATTTTCCAAAATATTTACCTGGCACTTAACCTATATGCTTTTGAGAGCTAGTTACTTTATTTCTTCATTTAAGTTGTGATGTACACAACCATCTCTCCCTAGGTGACACTTTGAAACATGAAGAAGCCTGGTTTCTAGTTCTACAACAGGTTTGTACTCCTGTTAGAATTTCTGGGCATTCCATTCAGTAAGACCCAGTTGAAATGTGTCCTCTTCCATAAAGCCTTACTGAAGTCCTTCAGGCAAAGGCAGCTTTTCCCTTGGGTTTCCAAAGACATTTGTAACTACTCCTGTTACACTGCATTCTAAACATTTATTTACATACTTCTTTTCTCCACTAGATGGCAATCACAACAGTACAAAGTTAATTTTTTTTTTTTTTAAGTTTATTTATTTATTTTTGAGAGAGAGAGAGAGAGAGAGAGAGAGAGAGAGAGAGAGAGAGCGCACCAGCAGGGGAGGGGAAGGGAGGGAGAGAGAGAGAGAGAGAGAAAGAGAGAGAGAAAGAGAGAGAGTCTTAAGTAGGCTCTGCACTGTCAGCACGGCTTGAAGTCACCAACGGTGAGATCACAACCTGAGACAAAACCAAGAGTCAGATGCTTAACCTACTGAGTCACCCAGGCACCTCTGAAATTTTTCTTTTTATTTCATCTTTTTCAGAGAGGGCATACATAAATATTAACTAAGTAAGTAATGAAAGGAACAAAGTTGATCCTCTACTGTGGAATGGAACACAAAGACATATGTAAGATATTGACATCTATATCTAAATGTCAATGTAGATACAGATGTACACACATGGTATTTAGAGAGAAACACAATCGCTTTCTTGCTTGACCTCTGTGGTTACTTCCAATGGTACGATGAAGAAGGCTGAGACTCCTGACAATTCCCTCTGCTCCCACAGTGGCTTCCCAGCAGCTCCTTCTGGCAATTTTTCTTGGCAGTGGCTCCCAGCACAGGCTCCCAACAGCTGCTCCCATCTGCAAGGTCTCTTCTCTGAAATGGGTCCCGCTAGCAGTGAGTTCCATTACCAAACTCCGGGGCAGCAACAACTCATCCTACCTTGAAGGACACTTGCCTGTTCCCTGCTCTCCTAGCACCATTTCTAGGGACAGCACGCAGCATGATCCACACAGAGCCCTTGGGGCAGTTATAGAGTAGAACTTCTCTTTTCAAGAAGTAAGTTCAAAGGTATGAAGATAAAAATCCTAAGTTATAAAATATATTTGCTATATTCTCTGGAATTTTCTATGGTCTACTCAAGGCTTTCTGAGGTTTGGGATTCCCCTCTGGAGTTGTAACTGCTTGTGGACATTCCACCAACCCTCAGTGACTGGCAGAACACAAGCCTACTGGACATGTTTTTGTCTTACCTTATCTGAGAGCACACATCTCCCCTTTCTTCTGGTGAAAGCACCCTGATGTGCTTTGAAGGATGCTTCCCTCACCTAGTGTCAGTGCGTGTGGCTGAGCTGAAAAATAGATGACACCTACCAACCCTTTTGTTCAAGGGATTATGCTATGTTCTATGTTGCACAGATTCTATATTGTTTTCAAGCAATAGAATTCCAGAAATTTTATCTATATAATCTATTTAATCTATGCATTAAAAAGATAAACTTTCTGATGGCCTTATTAAAGATAAAAGATTATATGATCTCTAGCTGCTCATGGCAGTGTGTGAAGATGGCCTGCTTATGAGGATGTGTGTGTGTGTGTGAGAGAGAGAGAGAGAGAGAGAGAGAGAGAGAGAGAGAGAGAAGGCCCTGAAAATAATATTTGAATGCCAGGACTTAACCTGCCTGACCAGCCCTACCCATGGGCTTCTCTGTTACGTGACTTAATAAATTATTTTATTTTCATTTTTATTCTTATTAGCTGCATAAACTAGTTTGAATTAGCTCTGAAACTTGTAAACAAAATGGCTCAACTAAGTGATCAGGAAACTAATAGAATCATGGAAGCACTAAATCCCACTTGCCCATCTTTCTCTAAGTAGCAGCCATACAACCAGGTCACCAGAATTCCTAGGACAGTTTTATTTCAAGTATTTCCTCCTATTTTCCCTATCAATATAGTTTTAATTTTCATATTTTATACTTTATTACTTATTTTCTAGAAATAAACAGTATTATGCCCATTGGGCTGAAGGACACCAATGAGAACCAAATTGCCCCATAGTTACTTTGGAACTTGCACTATTCTTTTACAAATCCTAAAGCACAAAAGGGGCTAATGACAGCTACTCTTCCACACAGAATTGTTGCAAAAATTAAATAGCATTTGTAAAAATAGGAAGATATATATGTAGAGAGAGATAGATAGATATAGATATAGATATAGATATAGATATCAAAGAGTAGTATGTCAGTTTATGTAGTATATCAAATAACAAGTGTATAAAAATGTGTGGTTTCAATATTGTCATTCCTATGAAAACTTTGCAATGATTGTGAGGTACTTATGGATGGCCACATCTTCCCCAGCGCAGCATAAGTCCTAGAAATAGCATTGGTGCCCTTGATGGCATTTAGCACAGTTTTTGTTGCATGTGAAAATGCCCTTGGTTGGCTGCTTGATCTGGATATGGTCCTCAGGAATGTTCTAGTTGAGAACACTTCACTAAAATCAAGTGGTTCTAATAAGTAGGGGGTAAATGGAAAATGCTCATCCAGATAATTTAATCCTCCCAAAAAGTATAAGAAAATTTCCAGAGAAATGAGGTATGTTGTAGGAATAATAGTTAATTGCTTTGTATTTCTGTTTCATTCTACGTGTGCAGATGTACTTAATACTTACGTGATCTAGTTGGAATTCCATAATAAAATCCTTATTTTATCCTTGTCCTGGGGAGTAATTTCCTTACTCATGGATGAGTTGGGGTGCCAGGAAACTAGCTTCAGTCTTTCCTGGGAAGTCTTCCTAGATCCAGTCAGCACTGTTTGAAGAAAGGCTATGAGAAGAAAACCAAGAACTTAGTGCCCACCCATTTCATTCTCTCACTTTTCACATGAATAAATCAAGCCACAGAGAGCTTTCACTGACACATGGATATTCACTTGCTGCTATAATCCATTGCCATATTCTCCATTACTCTGTCACAAATTCTACTGCACTGGGCATAACTGGGGCATACATAGAAGAGCTTTTTGTTTTAATAACCATATATTTAAATTACTGTATATTTAAAAATTATAACAATCAAACTTGAGATTTCATAAGTATTAGTACTAAGGATAAGGATAAGTTAAAAATAGTAGAGACAGTTGGTTTAAGTTGGATTAGTGAAAATTAAAATGACATGTGAGAGGTAGGTGGCTGTGGCCAAAAATTATGAATGTGATGAGACTGGCAAAAATCTGAAAAACCATTCTTTTCATGACATGTGGTATGACTATATATATATATATATATATATGCATACATACTATATAATAGGAAAAGTTCTTACAAAGATGTAAAATTGAAATAATTTTGTTTCATTTTGAACAACTGATTCTATTGAAAGTAATAAAAGTTCAGGAAAATATAAAACAAAATAAGCATCAAGTAAACGGTTTTCTATTTAAAAATTTTTCTAATATGGAAGTTCAATTTTCCAGGAATTCTGTTTTCTTCAAATTGTTAGTTCTCTTTTTTCTAACAAGTCTTGGCAAAAATAAACAAGTTATTTGGGTAACTGAGACAAATTAAACTTATTCATTAGTTAGTGATGGTTTTTTCAACTACTAAATTACTCATTTGATTAAAATTATTAAAGGATCCCCACCTGCTTGGCACTATTCTAGGCACTGGGAACACAACAGTGAGTAAAAAGTAAAAATATGTACTGTTCTGGAGTTTACATCAAAGTGAATGAGGAAGGCAATAAAGAATGGTTATATAATATGTTAAAAAGTGTTAAGTACTATCATAAAATGTATAACGGGGCAAAGTGATAGAGATTGACCAGAAGAGACTTCTGTGTTAAAAAAAAAAAAGTCCTCTCTGAAGAGACATATGAACACGGTCCAAATGAAGTAAGAGAGTGAGCCTTATGAATATTTGGGAAAGAACAATCTGGGCTGAAGGAAAAGCATTTCCCAATCACTTCATCAACCCAACATATCTTCCCTATCCCTTAAGTAGTATACATTTTAGGCTGTGCCTGTGATTCTCACCAACATGCAACAAAAGAAATTTCCAATCAGGGTGTGATATTTAAGGCATGCATGACAACGATATATTTAAAAGTCCTTTTGTATGCATTGTTAGATTTGGTATGCACACCCACCTTGTGGTATGGAAAAGCACTTGTTATCATCTCTACTTTATAGGATAAAATTTTTAGAGAAGTTAAGTGATATCTCTAAAAACATTCAGGTAATATCCAACAAATCCTAGCCTCAGATCTAGGTCTGGTGTAGGAAGTCTATTCCATTAAGCGGGGAAAGAGGGAGGGAGGGATGGAAGGAAAAAAGGGAGAAAAGGAGGGAAGAAGAAAAAAGTTTACTTTGATTTCTTAAAGTTACAAATATTTCTTTTAGAAACACTTTAAAAACATGTAAAAGAAAAAGAAAAAATCGTATCTACACTTTGATACACATTCAATTATTTTATACATTCATTCAAATAATATCTGAGTTCCCAGATGTGCCAGGTACCGTGGCAGGTGTTAGGGATACAGCAGTGAACAATTAAGACAAAAATCTCTGTCTTAATGGACCTTATATGTGGCCCTTTTCACAGAGTAAGAGGGTCAATAAACAAGATAAATAACTGAAATATAAACATGTTAGATAGTGATGAGATCTGAATATACAATAGAATGGGTATATACCATGAAATGATACTTCACATTTAAAACAATGTTTTACAAATAAAAGTATTGGAAACATGTGCCCTAAGAGAAACTCACTTCCCCTCTACTTTTAAGTCCGAGTGAAAAAGCTAATATGGACTATAGGTATTTTGATCCAAAAGAGGACACTAACAAGAATAAACTTATATATAAATGCTTTAAAATCTTGAGTTGGAAGAAAAATGATGTAAGGAAAATCCTGATATAGTCCAAACATTCTAGAATAAAGATTTCTAATCTACTTCAGCAAAATGTAGAAATTGGGGGTGAGGTTGGAGAGAGAAGAAAGACACTTGGTGGACTGAGGTGGGGGTGGGAAGGAAGGGGTGTAGGGGAGAGTAAAAATACTTTACAGATCTCTCATCTTATTTGTGTTCAAAAGAAATGGGGGATAGTTTATGTTGTGGGAGAATGCATTTGTATTTTATTTTCAAACACTATTAAAGATATGGGTGTGGTTACGAGAGTGGGGAGGGGGAAGGTAGATATTAACAGAACAGAGGAGTAAGTCAGGACTTTCACTAAACATGAGGAATAAATGAAAAGAATAATAATTTGATCCAACTAGCAAAGAAAAAAAAGTAGAACTAGAAACAGAGAAGACTAATGCAAAGTAAATTTAATCTGGGGCGCCTGGGTGGCTCAGTCAGTTGAGCGTCCAACTTCAGGTCATGATCTCATAGTTTGTGGGTTGGAGCCCGGTGGCTGGCTCTGTGTGCACAGCTCAGAGCCTGAAATGAAGACTGCTTCGAATACTGTGTCTCCCTCTTTCTGCCCCTCCCTTGTTCATGTTTTGTCTCTTTCTGTCTGTCAAAAAAATAAATAAAATAAAATAAAATGTTAAAAAAAATTTTTAACTAAATGTAATCTATTAGATGGACTCTACTAGATGGAATGAATAAACATGACTCCTTATACTGACAGGAAACAGACCATTTTCTCCAAACCGGAGAAAAAAATTAGTAAAAAATGGCTGTTAAAATAAAATCTACATACTTTTTATTAACACACATGCACACATGTACACACACACACACACACACACACACCTAAAATATAGTGGCAAAGATGGTTTAGAAATTAAGGAGATAGACCAAGAAACACCAGTTAAATCTAAGCAAAACAAAAAAATTCAAAATTAAAATATCGATATTGAAAAATCACTATTTAAAATTCACTATTAAAAGAAGTAAACAAAATAAAAATAAACATCATATAATTATAAAAGACACAAAGATACAGCAATTATAACCTCTATGGCTCAAAAACATTGCATATGACTATATAAAATGTTTTAGAAAGAGATGTTAAAAATGAAATTTTAGAGAAAGACTTTGAACTATACATGTAGTGTATTGGACAGATGTATAAATCCCTTCACTCCTGGTTTAAAAAAAAAAAGCTAGGGGAACAGCATAAGTCAATCAAAACCCTTGACTCAGTAGATCCATATAATTTCATGTAATACATACATATGCACTTATGATTTAAGGGACATTATTTATTTATAATCCATTGAACATTTTCATAAGTTACACATGTACCTGGCCAAAAAGAAACTTTAACATATTTTTAAAAATCACATTCTCTGGAGATGCCTGGGTGGCTGAGTCAGTTAAGTGTCTGACTCTTGATTTCGGCTCAGGTCATGATCTCATGGTTCATGAGTTTGAGCCCCACATAGGGCTCCATGCTGACAGTGTGGAGCATGCTTGGGATTCTCTCTCTCTCTCTCTCTCTCTCTCTGTCTCCCTCTCTTGCTCTCGCTCTCACTCTCACTCGTGCTCTCTTTCTCAGCCCCTCCCCCGCTCTCTCACTCTCTCAAAATAAATAAACTTAGAAAAAAATCATTCTCTGACTATAATCTAAAAATTAGAAATTAATAATAAAAACTTAATATTTTGAATTTAGAAACACATTCCCAGATAGCTCTTAAATTTAAGAGGAATTTAAAAAGAAAAATCAGGGTGCCTGGGTAGCTCAGTTGGTTAAGCATCTGACTCTTGATTTTGGCTCAGGTCATGATCTCATGGTTCATGGGATCAAGCCCAGCACTGGGCTCCAAGCTGACAGAGCAGGGCCTGATCAGGATACTCTCTCTCCCTCTCTCTCCCTCTCTCTCTTCCCTTCCCCTGCTTGTGCTTTCTCTCTTTCTCAAAATAAACATTTCTTAAAAAAGAAAGAAAAGGAGAAAAATCAAACTATATGGAAAGCAATAAAAATTTCATAATAGAATCTTTGGACACAAAGAAAGTTGTGCCAAAGAAAGAGTTTACAACATGCCTTTAAATGTTTTTATTAAGAAATAACAGTAAAATTGAGAGATATATTAAAATAAAAAATAATTAGAAACTAGGAATAAAAAGAGAAAAAAGCTGAAATTTATTAAATAGAAAAATAAAAAATAGAAAAGGGAACAAATAAATCATCCCTTGAACCTTCATGTAAGTAAGAAAGAGAGAGAGCGAGAGAGGGAAGGAGAGAAGGTGTGAAGGAATAGAAAAGATGGAGCAAGCAAAAAAAAAATAAGCAATGTTGGGGATCAGAAGATATAACTATGGATACAAGAAAGATGATAATTGTAAGAGAATACTACATGCAGCTCTATTGAAACAAATTTGAAAACCTAAGAAGTAATATATATTTTACAGGTAAAATAAAAATATTAAAAATTATTTCCCCAGTTGGGGAAAACATGAATAGATCAATTTTCATAGAAAAAACTAGAAAGGTGATTAAAGACCTATCATGGAAATAAGAACCTGGTGGACAGAACAAGTAGCAGACAAACCAAAAACCTACCACCCCCCCCCAAAGAAAGGAAAAAAAGCCTTGGAATAAAGTTTCTTGGGGGAATACTTGTTCAGAAGACCCATCTCATTTCCTGAAGTAGATGTAGTGCCCAGAACTAGACACATGGTCAGAAAAGACCAGAGAGAACCCTAGGCTTGCACCTCTGACAGACATATAGGTTTTGGACTCTGCTCAACATGCTGATAAAAGCTAAGGCTGTTTTATGCAGTGCATCTTAGTGACGAGGAAGTGATCAAACTTCGTGCCAAGCTGCAAAAAACTAAGAGAGTGGTATTTATGCTCATCCTCTTGGCTCTACT